AAAAAAAAAAAAAAAAAAGAGGAAAGAGGAAACATAATTGATATTAGGGTTAGGGTTAGACAGGTGGGGTAGTACTGTTATGTCAAAGTGGTGTGGGGCAGCCATCTTACCGGTTCTGAGTTCGATCCAGGGGTTACATCTGGGGATATTCTTCATTTTGGACCTTTGTCAAGGCAAACAGTGGAAAATCCCCCTAAAGCAAATCTGCACTTTTTTTTGTTTTGCCATTTACTAAGTTAGATGCTGAAAATTTTCAATTCATGCATAATGTTTTGTACACTCTTTGGTATCACAGGTTTTACAAAATAATTATTATTGTCAATTTTAAAATAAATACAAGGAGAAATTGACAAATAATATTTAGAAATTAAATCAATAAATATTTTTATATGTATTAAATTAATGAATATACTTATGATTTTAATTTATGGGATAATTTAGCATGTTTAGCATGCAAACATTAGACGAATATAAAACATGTAAAGCTCAAAAACATCGGTTAAAATTGCATTAATTACATATTTTTAATTTAATAATTTAAAATAAATGTTGTTTTTTCCTATATAAAGTAATTATATAAAAAACGTTACTTATTGTAATCATATCATATATATATATATATATATAAAAACTACGAGAAAGACAACATATACAGCCACCTAAACCGATTAATTACCAATTATAAAACGGACAATGATTAAGTTACTGTGCATGTGTTACAAAGCAACCAAATACTGTGACCTTAACTAGAATGCAGATAGCTAAAAACAGGGCTACTAACGAGTGACAGCTGGATTCATGCACACTGCCTGAATCCAGCCGTCGCACCGCCCCAAAATCAATGGACGTGCCGTCATGCCAGTTCAAATCAACTGGGCTGCATTTATGGGAATGAACGACGACTTAAATACCCAAACCAATCATTTTGTCCCTGCCGTAATAGGTTTTCAGCAGAGAGGGAAAGTCCAGTAACAAATGTCATAAATTTCCATTAAGACCTCCAACTCTACATTCATATACATGAAAATACATTCATATTTAAAATGAAATTATCACATGCACGCATTAGTCACAAATGAAATCTATTTATCATGATCCCTTAAATAACAATGTCACAGCTGCTGGTAGTTAAATTTTATAATGATCCATGATGGTTACATTATAACAACCGTTTATATATATGTTTCACATTGCATGGTATGAAATAATTTATTATCAATTATTTCCTAAACATAAAAAATAATAAGTATGCTAATTTAAGAAATATAGACTGCCAGGACAATTGTGCTCATTATTTTCATTTATTAATTACAGTGTTATAATTAATTCAGATGGCTAATTCTATGAAGAGTTCTAAATTAGAAGCAGATCACATAAGGTTGGTCAAATTATGTGACATTGAGATAATACAATTATTATAATTAGTGGCATAAACCCTACAAATTGAAGGTTGTCAATGAATGAGATGGAAACCAGGGTCATTGATTGGTTTGCTTACGGAAAGTTGATTAGAAGTTTAATTATAAATAATAATTGTCTATAATCTACTATTGTCTTATCTACATTTCTCTTCACAATTAAAATTTAGATTTGATTAATTAAATAGTGAAGAGTTATATGGAAAAATGGCCATAATTTAATAACGAAAAAACAACAATTATATACGTAAGACTTTTTCTTATATCTACAATTTTAAATTAACAATATTATAAGTAAAAATAAAAAGTTTGTAAAAAACAATGATTTTATTTTCCTTGTTGATTCATCTTCACTCTAGCGAAGACTTAATAAACTTGCATGGGGTAAGGATAGGTCCAAGGTTCAAGGTACTTAACCTCGAACGTACTGTAACAATTCTTTAATAGTCGAAGTGAAGTTAAATCCAACACTTCTCGATCAAATGGCTACATGATAAATACAGTGGACTTGCCTACACTTGATTTGTCACACACAATTTCCCGGTCCCAAAATTACCATCTGAAGAGACACGTCACACTCCGATTATCCTGTTAAGCAAGCCACGTGAGCACCTCACGAAGGCCTATAAATACCTCCCAGGGGCCACCTCAAAAAAGTAATTGAAACCAATCTAAAGCTCCTTTTTCATTAGTCTAGAGGTAGATCCGATTATTGCTAACTTAAGCATCAGAGTGTCTCTCCGATGACCCACCTCGGGGCTTTGTAGGTTTATCTAAAATGAAGATGCAGACTGAAGAAGGATCTTTGGTTTAGTGTAATTACATTGGCGCCATTTGTGGGAACTCGAACTAAAAGCTATTTTGTTGCTTTCTTATCATGGTCAACACTCGATCTGTCCGAGCTGGAAATCAAGCTCAACCTCTTGGACAAGGTCAAGGTCAAGGTCAACTCCCCAACAACCTTCCACCTCACCTACCACCTCAGATCCCAAATATGTTCCCTCCTGTTGATCATGCAGAAGGAGGAGATGAAAACCAACCTCACAACTCAGCTCACAACTCAACTTCCATCGCTAATCAAGATGTAGTTACAACTCAACTTGCTGCTATGCAACAATAGTTTGGTGTCTTTCAGTTAGTTTTGGCTCAACTCCTAGCTTGGAATAATCCTGGCGATCCCTTTATTAATTTACTAAACCCTACTCCACAACCCCCAGTTCAACAGCAAGACCCCCAACCAGTTCAGCATGCTCTTACTCTTAGTGAGTCTTAGGGTTAGTCTCACATAACCCCAGCTCAACAACCTCTACTTGATGATGTCACTCGATGTCTGGACAGTTTAGAAAAAACTGGTAGTGAACAGCGAGGTGCCCCACCTCCACATCATAATACTGATTCCATACCTCATCCTCTGAACACCAACATCAAATTGGAACCTTATCTCGTTGGCTTCAAAATTCCTCAGCTCGAGACATATGATGGGATGAAGGATCTCGATGATCACCTCCATGCCTTTTACTCCTGTATGCAAGCTCAGAACGCCTCTAATGCGTTAATGTGTAAGATCTTTCCCTCCACTCTCTGTGGTAATGCCCGAACCTAGTATTATAGTTTGCCCCCAAGATCTATTAGCTCCTATTTAGAAATGACATATGCTTTTGCCACAAAGTTTTCCAACAGAAAGTTGATAAGGAAAACTACTTCTGAACTAATGCGAGTCAAACAGAGGGACGAAGAATCTCTGAAGAATTACACGAGCAGGTTCAATGATGCAGTTCTCGAAGTCAGCTCCTTCAACCAAGCTATAAGAATTGCGGCTGTAATTCAAGGTCTCCAACATGAAAGATTTAGAGATAGCTTAATAAAGCATCCTGCTATTACTTTTAACGAGGTTAATGATAGATCGTTGAAATTCATAACTGTTGAGGAATATGCTTTATCCCAAAAACTAGTTCTTCCCAAAAATCAAAACCTAGATTGGAGAGATGAGGGTCAAAGCAGAAAGCGGATGAAGATAGTGCAAAATCGAGGTCCAATGTCGACCTCTACAGCGAGATTCGGAAAGTCGAACTCGCTTCCCCCTAGCAAAATATCAGTAAAGCACCAGTTACATGGACTCCTTTCAATTTGCCGAAGTCGCAGATATTCATGCAGATCAAGAATAAGATGGATTTGAGGCGACCAGGGCCGATGAGAAGTTCTGCTACTACATGTGATCATACTAGATACTGTGATTTTCATCAAGATTATGGTCATACAACGGAGCAGTGTAATAGTTTAAGGTCAAAGTTGGAAAGTCTAGCTAAAAAAGGAATGCTAAATGAATACATCTAGAGAATCGAGCAACCAAAGTTTGCTTGAGAACAAGGACCACCGCCATAGGGGTCTCGTAATGCAGGTAACAGACAAGGTGTGGGATATCAACAAGCGCCACCTCCACTCCCACCACCGGCCAGAATTATACATATAATTATTGGAGGCTTGGAAGTAGGAGGTTTGAGCTCTAAGCAGCGAAAAAGTTGTACATCAAAGAGGTGAAGCATCGAAACCGAGCTTAGAAAAGAAAGTTTAACGATGCTGATTGGAAGAATCAACCCATCACTTTCACATCTGTTGATTTCGATACAGTTGTCACACCTCACAATAATCCTTTGGTCACTTCCGTCATGATTAATAACTGTAAGGTACAACGTGTCCTTATTAACACAGGGTGTGCACCAGACATTATGTACTTTCACTATTTTGAGAGTCTTGGGCTAGATCCAACTTTGTTGCAGAGGTACGATGGTCCCATATATGGGTTCAACAACCAACTTGTTTAGGTGGAAGGAGTCTTTACCCTTAATGTTGCTTTTGGAAGCGGTCGCACTTATGTTATCCCTTTGGTTTGGTTTTTAGTTGTCAAAATGACATCTTCTTTCAATGTTGTTATCGAACGACCCACATTAACCGAGATCCGAGTTGTGGTTTCTCAATCTCACCTCTGCATGAAATTCCCAAGTCCCATGGGGATAACAACGCTACGAGGTAACCAGGAGGTGGCTAGACATTGTTATATTACCTCAGTTACAAGGCCTCAGAAAGGAAAAGATCAAACACCAAAAACCATGCCCAAACATGTTCATGATAATCAGCAAGTAATGGGTGCTGAGATAGTAGACAACTGACCAGAGGATGAAACTAGGGCTACCCCAGTTGAGGATGTAGAAAAAGTGCAAATTGATGATAGAGATCCAAATAGGAAAACACAAATTGGAACTCGGTTGAACCCAAAGGAAAGAGCAGAGCTAATAGCTTTCCTCCGAGCTAACAAGGATGTTTTCGCTTGGACTTCAACAGACATGCCAGGGATCCCAACCTCGGTATCCCAACACAAACTCAACACTAATCCATTAAAGAAACCAATAGCCCAGAAGCGATGTCTCTTTGGGGGGGAGAGGCTTCAAGTTATAAAAGAAAAGGTAGAGAAGCTCTTACAAATTGGTTTCATCAGAAGAGTTGATTACTGCAAATGGGTGGCTAACCTGATGTTGGTCAAAAAGGCAAATGGTAAATGACGAATGTGCATCGACTACACAAATCTCAACCAAGCTTGTCCCAAGGACTGCTATCTGATGCCAAGCATTGACAAATTGGTTGAAACGGCTTTTGGAAATGAAAGATTAAGTCTCTTGGATGCATATTCTGGTTACCACCAAGTGCCAACGACTCCAGAAGATGAAGAGAAAACCTCGTTCTATGCAAGTGATGAAATTTACTGCTATGTCATGATGCCCTTTGACTTAAAGAACGTAGGTGCTACTTACCAGAAAATGGTTACCACCGTCTTCTGAGCTCAGATCAGCAAGAATCTAGAAGTTTATGCCGATGACATTGTGGTAAAGAGCCTGAAAATAGAAGACCATCTAGCTGATCTCGATGAAACATTCAACAACCTCAAAAAAAACAAAATGCGGTTAAACCCAACCAAATGCATCTTCGGTGTGGAGTCTAAGAAATTTCTATGCTTCATGGTTTCCAGAGAGGGATTGAGGTTAACCCAGAAAAGATTACAGCAATTGCCAAGATGGAACCGCCAAAGTCGGTGAAAGATATACAGAGATTAACTGGAAATGTGGCAACTCTTCATAGATTCATATCAAAGTCAGTAGATAAGTGTTTGCCATTCTTCAAGATCATGAGGTCAGTAGCTCAAAAGGACGGATCTAGCAAACAAAAGAAGTTTGAAGGCAAGTTGCATTCGATGAGCTGAAGTCTTATCTTAACTCACCACCCCTACTGATTAAGGCTGTGGATGGAGAAATTCTCTATTCGTACCTCGGTATTTTAGAATAAGCAATTAGTTCAATTTTGGTGAGAGAAGAAGGCAAACAATAGAAACCAATTTATTATATCAATAGCGTGCTGCA